TGGTATGCTTCGTTCAGTTACGTATTGCTGAGCCTTCCGTGTCTCGCTGTCTGTCAAAATTCGTGTTGTACTGTGGTATCCAGCAGAACCTCCGTAAATTGTAATTCTTTTATAAGTTTCACTGTAATATAATTTAATAAATTATGGTATAGTATTTAACAGAACTATGTCTTAATTTAATCACTACTACTCGATTGTGGAAACGTCCATATAACATGTTGTGATCTAATTAATAAAACGTAACAAAGTATTCATTGTTGAAAAATCTAATAATGTACAATCAAAATATGTTTAGCTATTTTTAGTATTTACGCTTGATTGTGAAATTACGCAGCGATATTTTATATTTTATATCATGATTTGGATTTAGTAACACTAAACATTTATATGATAAATAAAAATAACACTAATTTACATTAACAAATCTCTAATGAAATATTACATATTTATCATTAATAAAATTATATTATTGTATAGATATTGATAAAATGTACTTTGCATTAAATTCAAATAAAATATATCGAGGTACTTATATTTAAAAAAAATTCTTTTAGACAAGACAACCATCATCTTATGAAGAGTGTATGGTATATATTCAATCGTCCTATAATGCAGCGAATATATTATATTTATATCAAAAGTATAAAATGGCATTTGAGATTATCAACAATGGTAAATATTATGTTTTGAATTCGTGATTTGAGTTACTTTATTAAACTACAACTTTTTATTAGTATATTATTTTTTTAATTCATTGAATCTCTCCTATCGATTAGTAAATTGTTCACTTCAGATATTTTATGTATTTGTGTTAGAATTTGATTTATTATCATAACCATATAAATTTTTTTATTTATTTTTTTTAATCTAAATTTAATATTATTAAACAAGAGACTTGTGTTTTCAGGTTTGAAATATTTCGAATCAAATACAGAATTGTGTACTAGTAAACAAATCAGAAATGCAAAAATGTGGTCTATACTATTAATATCGTTGAGCTTCGATATAATGAAATATATGAAAAACATTTCTGACAGCCAAAAATTGGAAACAAAAAATAAAATATTATCTGGAATAAAGGAATATAATGAAGCAAATGACGGATCGTTTCCCATCTTAGCAATAATATTTGTTCGAAAATTATTTTTAGAAATGGTCAGTATATTCATTTTATGTACTTTCAATTAAATACAGTACTTCCTCGTTAACACGAACTCGGTTAACACAAATAATTGGATAACACGAACCAATTTTTCTGTCCCGAAAAATACATATACTTTAAGACAGGTATTTTTTTATTTTCTCGGTTTACACGAATTTTTCGGTTAACACGAAACTCGAACAAAATGGTTTAATTTCATTTTTTTTGATTAGCACGAATAGAAAAATTCCATTTTCTTTTTTTATTTTATTATTCGTATATCCTTTAATCTTTATTACAGCTATTGCTATGAAAGTAGTTTTATCGTTGCCTTATATTATCTCTCTCTTATTACCTACGTATTATAAACATCATATTTGTGCAATCTGGTTTGGTACTAATCGCTCTCGTTCAAATCAATTTTTTTATCGATCAATTTTAAATTGATTTTGTTAGTTAATTTTTCTAGTTTAAATGCAATGTGCAATAATAATTTTTATATATTTTTTGTGTGCATGATAAAATTTAGTATGTATTTAATATTTACGTGTAATTAATAATTTAAATAGATAAAATAATAAAATTAAATTTAAAAAAAAATGTAAAATATATATGAATGATTGGAAAATGTATTTCTGAATTTATGTTTCTACAATATAACTAAATTTTATGTTTATATTTCTTAATGTAAATTTTGTTGTTGCTACAGTATAAACTAATTTTATTAATATTAGTGTTGGATTAAACCAGGGGTCGGCCACCCGCGGCCCACAAAGCAATTTTTGATGGCCCGCACAAAGGTGGTTAATTTTTGTGTTTTACTTTTGTTCAATAACATTTTTCATAAAATTTTCAATATTATATAATTCTTTTTCCTTTATAAATAAAATCTAATCTAACCGTTTCATAATAGCAATCTTAATATATATAAATCTCATGTCACAATGTTTGTCCTCAATGGACTCCTAAACCACTTATCCGATTCTGATGAAATTTTTACAACGCGTGTAATTTGGTCCAACTTAAAAGACAGGATATAGGGTATGGACCTAACTCCTGTGAGTTAGAGATTTAGAGACCAAAACCGAGTTACACCGGTGGCACCCTCTAGCAGATAAAAATAAAATATAAATAATAATACAAAAATCGATAATAGCAGGGCTTGAAATCGATTAATATCGATAAAAATCGAAAAAAAAAAATATTATAAAAGTTACGTTACCATGGCCACAATAATTTCAATTTATTTTATTTTATTTTATTTTATTTATTTATTTATGTGCTATGATAACATGCCACCGAAAAAATCTAACTTCAACAACGCGAGCAGCAAAGGGTCACGACGCAAACGTGTTGAAAGAGCTCAGCAATTACCAGAACAAATGGAAACAAAAAATGCAGCTCAAAGAATTAGGACTGCAGAAAGTCGTGCACGAGAATCTCAAGAACAGCGTGACGAACGTCTGCAACAGAATATTACGAGAACGAGAGCGGCACGAGAACGAAACATAGCTACAGTACGAGAAAGAGATCGACAAAGGCAACGGATCAGCCGCTCATTAACACGTGCATCATTCGTTCGGCTTGCCTTTGATTATGCACCAGATTAACTACTCAGCGCATTCAATGATTGCTATCGGTGGAATGGATAAAGTATGTTAATATTGTCAGGCATTGAAATTTCGGAATGAAGCTGCCGGCATGTGCTGCGCATCAGGAAAAGTTGTGCTGTCACCTCTACCCGCTCCGCCGGAGCCTTTATTATCCCTTCTTACTGGCAATTTTGATGATTCCAAATTATTTTTGCGTAAGATACACAAATTTAATTCTTGCTTCCAAATGACGTCATTTGGGGCAACTAAAATTTGCGATCGTGCATCCGATGGACGTAATTTTGAAACTACATTCAAAATTCAAGGCCAGGTGTACCATAAAATCGGATCACTGATGCCAATGCCTGATAACAATCCGAAATTTCTTCAAATTTATTTTAATTTATTATTTTACTGGATGGTGGGCGAACAGCACATTCAACATTCAAGCTGCATAATAAACGACGTTCATAATAAACCAGATGCAATGTGTAACATCAAAAAGAATAGTGGAATAGCTGCAATGTTGCGGAAGAGTTCTATAATAAATTGGGATGAGTGCACAATGGCACACAAATATTCACTTGAAGCACTAAACAGAACTATGCAAGATTTAAACAGCAATAATAAACTTTTCGGTGGTGCTATCTTACTTTTGTCTGGTGACTTCCGGCAGACCTTACCGGTTATACCTCGCTCTACTTTCGCGGATGAGATAATTGCATGTTTGAAACAATCATTCTTATGGCGAAGTGTCGAAACACTTCGAATGACCATAAATATGCGATTACAATTGCAAAATGATCCATCAGCACAATTATTTTCCGAACAACTATTAGATATTGGGATCGGTAAAATAGAACTGCAATCAAATACGCAATACATTAAACTACCAGACAATTTTTGCACTGTTGTTCAGGATAAAAATGAAATGATTCAGAGTATTTTCCCGGATATACAGAATAATTATTTGAATCATGAATGGCTTAGTCAACGGGCGATTTTGGCCCCCAAAAACGTTGACGTTGACGAAATTAACTTCCAGAAAAAACAGTTGTTACCAGGCGATCTGATGTCATTTAAATCAATCGATACTGTTGTTGACGAAAATGAAAGTGTAAATTTTCCGATTGAATTTTTAAATTCATTAGATATCCCTGGAATGCCACCACATAATCTTCGATTAAAGATTGGTTCCCCTATTATTCTCCTCCGTAATTTGAAGCTAACTCAATTATGTAACGGTACGCGTTTGGTCATCAAAAAGATTACCGGAAACATTCTTGAAACAACCATTTTGTCTGGGAAGTTTAAAGGAAAAGTGGTCCTGCTGCCACGTATTCCGATGTACCATCAGATTCTACCATACCCTTCAAAAGGCTACAGTTTCCAATTCGTTTAGCTTTCGCCATGTCTATAAATAAATCTCAAGGTCAAACAATGTCCATTTGTGGTTTAGATTTGGAAAATCCATGTTTTTCTCATGGGCAACTATATGTTGCGTGTTCACGTGTTGAGAAACTGTCGAATCTATTTGTGTTAGCTAAAGACAGGTTAACCAAAAGCATTGTGCACCGATTGGTGTTAAATTAAATTAAAAAATTAAAAGTATTTATAATTTAAAAAATTAGATATTAACGTTTAAAAGTTTAAGACTGTCTGCTTAATATCAAGTGTAAGAACATTTAGCCACAGCAACGCGTGGCCGGGCAGCTAGTACAATTATAAATATTATATCATAATATGTAATTTTTTTTTTTTTTAATGTGGCCCTTGATGAACAATTGAAAAAAAAATGGCCCGTGTGGTTAAAAAGGTTGCCGACCCCTGGATTTAACTATACGAAAAATAATATAATAATTTATACTATTAAATTATTGTACATTATAATTATTATTGTACTTTAATAGGCGTATTTTTTTTAAACTACTCTGATAACTCGAATTCGTCCGTGTAAGTATAAATCGTTTAACACAAATTCGTGTTAAACGGTATCGGTTTACACAATTATTTTTTAAACAAACCGGTCATTTTGCGGTCCCGTCGAGTTTGTGTTAACGAGGGAGTACTGTAGTTTGATGAAATAAGTCTTGAATAATTATATAGAGTAATTAAAAAAAAAAATAGAATATAGATATGACATACAAAAAACATTAAGCACATCACATAAAGTTCAATTTAAAATTTTTAATTTGGTATGGATTGTAGAAAATAATTTTATTGAATTTTTTTATTTTATAAAACTTGATAAATTAAAAACCTGACAGTCCTTAAAAAATAGGTCATTAATTAATTTTATTTAAAGTTAAATGTTAATTAGAGCTACCTTTACAATATTTAACAAACCTTACTAAAATTAACTTGTAAAATTTTTACTTTAAATCATATAATTTATCTCATTATATCATCCATAGGAGACCTCTAATGATATGTGTAAAGAACTTAGAAACTGGTTACTTCCTAATCAGTTAGATATGTCCATGGAAAACGATGATTTATATAAGAAATATATTACCACGTACAAGTCCTTCTTAATTTTCTTTCATAATTCTGATTTGAATAATACTTTTAACAACATATTTAAAGCAATTGAAAAGCCAGTCTTAAACATAGAAGTAAGTACAATATTATAATATTAACCTTTGTAAAAACAATTTGAAAAATGTTTAAATATCAATATATCATATCTGGTATTCTTGTGACAGTAACTGGTTATTATAATATTTTAATTATTAATTACTCAATATACGAATATATATGCAAATTATACACTTTTGCAATATACATGTTAATATTGGTGAATAGATAAATATAAATTATCAAATAAAAACATGTAAAATATATTTTATTATATACCAATAATTTGAAAAAATATGAAACAATGTCAATAACCATTATTTTGGTTAGAGTTTTTAGTTTTAAATGGAAAATAAGTGAACTGTATAAGTTTATTAAATTAATTGATTAAACTAATAATAATTTGTTATAATGGACGTTTGATTGACATTTAACTTTTAGCCAATTAATCAACTATTCCTTTTTGTAGTTGTCTTATTATTAATACAGTGCTCGAATTAGAAAAATAGTATAAAGGGGATTATCTGACTTAAAAAAAAAAAATTAGCATCCCTTATAATGATTAATCTCAATTTTACCCGTGTGAGGCTACGAACACTAGCATCAGCATTACAAATTGAAGTATAATACACTAATATCATTAACATTTACCAACAATGAATAAATATTATTTTACTTCTCATTTATTAGAATAAAAATTAATAGTATACATTATTAAACATCAATAAATAATTAAGTAATTCATTTTTATTTTTTTAATTACACTCCATAAATTTTCATAAATATGGCTGACTTCAATACGTATGACTACGCTGACTACGTATCCAAGACATTACATACGATTCTGGTTTAAAATTTTTAACTGGAGGTTCAACACAGCCTATAAACCTATTAAAGAAGAAATATGTATAGAATTTAGTGCATTTCTTTTAGCAGTCACCAATTTGCTCAAAGAACTAAAATTACGTTCACATTCACTTGAAGATATTACAATTGTCTTAATTGTAGTTAACAGGGGGTTCAGATCTTGTATATAAAATTTATTTTTAGTTTCTTTAAATTCTCAAAAGCTATGTATTGTTGATTTTTCATCAACTTGAAATATTTTTACTAACCACTTGACGGCTGTATTACCGTATTGAATATCACAATTTTCAGGCCAATTGTTTTGATCTAATACGTCTGTATGCGCGCCAGTAACGTGCCCTATGGTTAACACTGGCCCACGAGTCAATTAAAGGGGTAATGGCTAGGCAACTTATTTTGATGGGCCTCACCTGGCTCAGGTAGGCCGTACAAGAGACAACGGAGAGGAAACAAACAACCTAACACAAAGGGTAGCAAGAAATAGAATTTATTTATCAGGGGGGAGTTCCCGGTGATCGGAATGGGTTTGGTGCAATGATCACCGAGATTACACAAATCGGGCTAATCCATAAACTAGGTACTTAAAACTATGATGATGAAGCTGAACGTGATTGATAGAATTGGACCGGAATCGACGACCTGTGCAGCCTCTCACACACCATGGCGGATGCTAGCGGTCTTACGCAGCGATGGAATATTATGACACAAATCCCGATCTCAGGTGATGCGGAGTTCGTGCAGAAAGTACACAACAGGAACGTATATATATAAATAAATTAACTCACGTTGGTTGACGGTAGTGATGGTGGTGATTTATTATAATAATAAAATAAACACAATAATATAAATAATAATAATAAAAATATCAATTTAGTCTTTCCGGTCGCAATGGCACGGCCAACGCAATTATAACAAAAAATACTGTCGCAATAATAAATAATTTATAGATGTAAGATTATGTCACATCATTAGCAACAGCGAATAAAACAAAAAATAACTGATACACAATTGCTTCAATAACAAAAAAATTATGTCTACAAAAAAGTGGTTGAATATACGTATAACAAAATGTAAACGGAAAAAAAGTTCGTACCTGCAATAATAAGATTGATAATAAAAGGGCGTTGGCCGCTAAATCACAACAAACTACAAAAATAATATACACAAAATGATAGCACAATACAGTGAGGCATAAGGCCGAATAATAATTACTTATACAACACATTAAATATGAACAAAAACAATAAAGACACATAATTAAAATATATATATATTACGGACTGATGGGTGGATGGAAGAAACGGGAAAGATAAGAACTGATTGTCGTCGCGCGAAGTCCCGTACCACCACACATGGCGAGCTTAGGCGCGAACAACGTTTGTTCGTCTAAAGGGCTCTTATTGAAAAGTTAGTCCCAATGGCTTGCACTCACAGGCTGGGTAATAGTAAATATAAAATAATAAAATGAAAAACGCAAATTTATATGTTGTATAACATGCCAATGGCATCACCGTAATATTGAAAATAAATAAATAAGTCAGAACAATATAGAGTTCAGTATCACGGGGATATGCACCTACTTATAATAATTTTACAAATTTTACAAATTATGAATAATAACTATGCCATAAGTATATCAAAACAATATAAATAACTAGACACGCCGTATTGGTATAAAAATACTACAAAATACATAGTAATAGTATAATATAACGCTTACGCCGTAACGGCAATAATACAAAAATAATAATCTTATATTATAAAACGAAAACGCTGTTCACTTTTTCTCCGCAAGAACAACCCTATCTTCTTCTTTTCTACTGAAGGCCTTGCCTTGTCGTTGTAAATCTGGTTCGCCATTCTTCTCTGTTAGAAGCCAGTCTTTTCATGTATATATATCGACTACAGTCAGCTTGTTTTATCATTTCTTCTATATATGCCTTCCTCGGTCTACCTCTTCCATTGTAACCATTTATTCGTCCTTCAAATATATTTGTCATAAACAAATTATGCCTGAGTAGGTGACCGAACATGAAAAAACACTTCTTTCTTTTATGGTGTTTAGTAGAATTCTTTTTTCTCCTACTTGGTTTAATACATCTACGTTACTTTTCCTTTCTGTCCAACTGATTTTCAACAGTTTTCTCCATATCCACATTTCCATGGCTTCTAACTTCTTTTTGTCTTGCCCATTGATGTTCCATATTTCGCAGCCATACAATAATATACCCCACACATAGCATTTGACAAAATTTTTTCTTATATTTATATTAAGTTTTTTGTTTGTAAGTAGCTGCAGTTTTTGCGTAAATGCTCTCTTTGCCATAACTATTATTTGTTGTCTGATTCCTATTGAGCATTTACCATCGCTTGTAATTGTACTTCCTAGATACTTAAATTGTTGGACTTGTTCTATTAAGTTATTATTTACTTCCGACTTCACTACGAGAAATTCTTTTGTTTTAGTCACCACCATTGTTTTTGTTTTATTTTCATGTGATATTCCTGTAATTTTTTTGTCATGGTGGTTAGAGATTTTTGCTTGTCTTTCTCTGATTCAGGTACTAAAGCAATATCATCTGCAAAATCGTATATAGTGGATCTTTTCTTCATTTATGCTTATTCATTTTTCTTAAGAATTTAATCCAGAAGCAATAATGCCATTTCATTCCATCAACTTTTTTACGTCCATTATTACACTTTTTGTATATAAAATCTAAATTTTTTAAAAGAACTTTCATGGACGATTTTGAACCCGGATAGTTGATTTTTTTCACGCATTGCTGCCAATATTTTTGCACTTGTAGGAAATTGATAATTGTCGTAAAAACTATGAACGGTTCTCCTAACAACTTCGTTGTTAAAAACATCTAGTAGCATACTTTACTCGTTTATAAGTTTTTCTTGGCGACTTGAATGAAGTAAAGATTCCGTCATTTTCTTCTATTTTTTTCCTTCTGAACAAATTCGCTTGACACTAGCAACGCTAACAGCACATGCTTCGACAATTACTTCACGTGATTTACGGAAAAAAGTTGCAAATTCAGAATGATTTTTGTTTGTAGCCTAAACTTTTAAGTAATTGTTAACACTAAAAATTACTGTTTTAGTTTAATAATGAATATTCTGTCGAAATTCTATTATAAAAATATTGTTATAAAATTATATCAAACAATATAACACTTTTTTAAAAAAAAGGCGAACAAAAACTCGTTAAATACTTATAGCAAAGGCAAATCGATAACGGTTGTAGTCATACTAGACTCCAGCGTATTACGATTATTACTCCTATTGTCTTGAAACTCCATGCAGAATTACCTATTATTTTTTTTCGGTGCATACTAATTGCGTCCAAATCATTTATCAGTAGGTAACTTGCGTCCCGCAAAAAAAGGGGCTTCATTCGATTGCGTCCTGTTTCAACCTTTTATATCTTTTTAGTATGTCGATTGCGTCCACAAGTCGGATAGGTAAATTATTTTTTCTTACATTTTTATGTTCCGATTGCGTCCAGTTATATGATATATAAACATAACATTTTGTAAAACGAATAGCCATTATTAATAATTATTTTAATAATAATAATTATACAAAAACTAATAAAAATAAATCCAAATATTTAAGAATAAATAATTTAAAAAGCGATATTTAAACTTATCAATTTTTCGAATTTCCTTATTTTTTTTCACTAAAAATGGTATTCATTATTAAGTGTAAACTTTAAAGTATCTTTCGATTCTAAGGCACTTGACGTACTAAATCGCTACGTGATCGTAAGTCGATAAGAGTACCAGCCATAAGATAAATGTTCGTAAACTCATCAAGTAAAAACCAATACGTGTTTAAATATACCTCCATACCATGTATGATAAAAATATTAGATTTAATATGTATCGTAGATACATATGTAATATGTAGATTTAATACGCAATCGGAACACGGAAAAGGTGGGCAAAAAATTGTTTACCTGCATCGACAAACTCCGAAAAAAAGGTCATAGCCTATTTGCGTCCCCGTATACCTTTTTAGGCAGCCTAGTTGAGTCCTGACATAAATAAAGCATAAGCATGGCCTCATCAAGTATTACAAAGTATTATTATATATTTATTATTTATTTATTGTATATGATTCCACTACATTTGATTAAATTACATTAAAAATACATTAACAT